ACACACACACACACACACACACACAGAGACACACACACACAGACACGCACACAGACACAGACACACACAGAGAGACACACACAGACAGGCAGACACAGACACACACACACACACAGAGACACACACACACAGACACGCACACAGACACAGACACACACAGAGAGACACACACAGACAGGCAGACACAGACACACACACACACACAGAGACACACACACACACACACAGAGACACACACACAGACACGCACACACACACAGACAGACACACACACACAGACACACACAGAGACAGTCAGTGTGAGTGAGACCCTCCTGGTGTTTCGGTTGTCTCAGTGCTTCTCCTCACCTTGTCTTTGCTCTTGCGTTTGCCTCCTCCCTCTCTCTTCCTCCTCTTCTCCTCGCGGCTGTGATGAACTGTAGTGCAAGCGCTCCATTCTGTGCTGCCGTTGGCTGAGGACAGAGAGGTCAAAGGTCACGCGAGAGTGGCACACAGACGGTCAGACGCACAGAAGCGCAGCGCCCGTACCTGCCGGCGTTCTCTTGGCTGCTTTACTGCTGTGTTTCTTCTCTCGCGAGCGGTCGCGCTCCTTCTTTTTCTTGCTCTTCTTGCTCTTCTTCTTCCTCCTGCTGCTGCTGTGAGACGAGGACCCGTGGACCGTGAGTTTCTCACATTCACTGTCGTCGCCGGAGGACGAGCCGCTGCTGTCGGCCACATCATGGCATCCGCTGTAATGACCTGATGAACACGACACCATCAGCAGTCTGAGACAACCTGAAATCACTGAGCAGCTAGAAGATCAAACACCAGTTTTAGGATTATCAATGGTGTTCACTGAACGCTGATCTGCAGCTGGGACGGATTACAATGGTTACAGTTAAGTGTTTTGTCATCTATTACTGTGCATTAATGTCACTGAAGAACCAGCTGAACTGCGGTGAGGATCCTGCACTGGGTGTCAGTGAACCGTATCATGCACAGATTAATAGCACTGGGCTGAAAATCTCGCTTTCTTGATCTTGTTTTAATGATCCCAATATTCTTAAATCCCAAGACTGACCTGTTAGTCTGTGAGGTTTTCAGTTGATGAGCAAACAAAACTGCCTCTCATCCAATAACTGCAGTGAGGCTAGTTACTTTTGATATGATACAACAAAAAAAAGTATCAGAACATATAATTGAATAATGAATCATGTCTCATGCACTCACTCTTTGAGCATAAACAATATCTGCAAAGTTACGAAGCTGAAAGTTCAATGCAAACGGAGATATCGTCTTTTACAATTCTGGCAGTTTAATGCCTACAAAAACAGCTGGTAGGGACTACAACAAGTTACTTCCTGGGTTCATGACATCATAAACCCCTCCCTCTGGAAAAGGCAGCAAAGGGGGCGGGGCCATGCAGCGCTGCTTTAGAGAAGAGGAAGAGAAAACTAGAGGTGCACCTAAAAATCTATTCATGTATGAATCACGATTCTGTCTTCTAACGATTCTAATGGATTCACACGTTTCAAAATCAGTGTTCTAAAGACGTTTCAAAATCAATGTTCTAAAGCAGCGGTTCTCGATACTGTTCCTCGAGTCCCCTGCATCTCTCTCTCTCTCTCTCTCATTCAGCTCAGCTCCAACAATGAACTGTTACAATTATACACTTATTTTCACATAGCTATGAGAAGCGTTAAACATGGACGCGCGTGCAGTACTTTATTAAAGCTTTAATCAGGATAAAACCGTATATTAAAAGCTAACATAGCATTCACAAATAACAGCGTATCTAAAAGTATGAGACGACAACAAACAAAAAACATAGGCCTACCATTAAAAGCCGTGCTTGCACAGGTTCTGCACGATCCTCTTCAATAATATCCTCTGCTTCTCAATCGAGCTCAAACTGATGAGCGATATTAACGATGCTGTTGTTTACAATACAACCGGAGCACATGCTGCTGAGGAGAGGGCGGGACGTTTAGACGCGCGCTAGAGGCGGTTTAGCCAATCACAACACACTGGGCTAGCTAACCAATCAGAGCCCATCGCCTATTTCTGAGGGAGGGGCTTCATAAAAGCAGGAAATGATCAGCGTGTTTCTCAGAGAAGGGACAGAGCGGTGTGGAATAAAGGTCAATTATGTGAAAAATCATGTGTTTTTTCTTTTAAACAAAGCATTAACACATTAGACTGCAGCCCATAAACACAATCCAGCCTAGAGAAAAAACAGTGAACCACCCCTTTAAATCTGAAAATAAATAGCATAATAGTTTAATTTAATAGTTTGGACTAATTTTAACCTTTAATATTACTGAATTTTCTGTAAAGTTGCTTTGCAACGATTTGTATCATGAAAAGCGCTATACAAATAAACTTGAATTGAATATTATAGTAATGTAACATGACCGGGCTCCCTGTATATATACAAATCCATACTGAATCAAATTAAATTGAATCAAGCTTGCGAATTAGAATCAAATCATGAAATGAAGGTTTTTGCATTTGCCCTTGACAAGTTTGCAAGTCTGTATTTTTTTTTTTTAAATACAATGTAAAGTTACTGCTTTGGGACAAAATCGTTGTGTACATTCACAGAAAACAATGCTTCTCTGCTTTTAGGATGCTCTGTGCTGTTTAGAACGGATCAGGAGTGCAACACTATTAAAGCAACTCTCTGTATTGGTTTTTTACCTTGAAATATCAGCTTCAGAATCATTCTGATGGTACACTGACTTCTAATAATGTGAATGACCTCTGTTTCTTTCCCAAAGGTCTGTTCTGGGAGTGTGTGAGCAGCACGAAATCCCGCCTGACAGCAGCAACAAAAGCACATGTACCGTATTTACCACAGTGAACTGTGTCCCTGCAGCACAAAAGCAGTGTTGAGTCGCTGGGGGATATTTGTAGCAATAGCCAACAATACATTGTATGGGTCACAATTATACATTTCTCTTTTATGCCAAAAATCATTAGGATATTAAGTAAAGATCATGTTCCATGAAGATATTTAGTAAAT